AACTCCTCCCTAGTGCAGCAGCAAATTTTTTTTAGGAAAGGTTTATGGCAGAGTAGATTTGAGAACTAAACACTGAAGCTACAAACTAGGAAACATCTTGGATCTTGGCAATGAAAATATTTCTGCACCCCAATTACTGCCTTTCTCTTCCTAACATTATCCTTTTATAGAAAAACAAAATTATTTGCAAAGAAACTGTCATGCTCACGGCCAAACAAGGTGTCCTTCGACTGATGGTTTTTTCATATTTTATTTATGTATTTGTTTATTTAGATTACAGGCTGCCCAATTCCTCAATTACCCTGGGTGGCTTACTTAAAAAACAACAACAACATATAAAATTGAACTCAGTAAAATAGCACAAATACCAAAACCAAATCAAAATAGATCATCTCCAAATCAAACAAAACGAAGGGGAAGAAAGGGTGGGGGTTTGTGTGTGCCACGATAACCCTGTCTCTAAGTCCTCAAGAAGAATAACTAGGTTTTTGGTAATTTCCTAAATGACTTAAGGGTGGAAGCCACATAAATTCTAGAGGGCAGGTATTGCAATAGAGAAGGCATGCTTTCTGCATCCTGAAAGATGACATTCTTTAATCAATGGGACCTGCAGTACATCCAGTCTGCTGGACCGAACTGGATGGGCAGAGACCACTAGGGGTAAGGGATGCTTCCAATTGCCTGCTCCATGAAGGGCTTTAAAAGTGCACGGCACACTGAAATTAATTGGCAATCAGTGAAAAAGCAGCAAGCTTATATGTGTCTAATACAGTGCATCCCTCACTGCTGTTCTGCTTTGTTCTGGACTATCTGTAACTTCTGGATGGTCTTCAAAGCAGCCTCATGAAGAGTGCATTATGGTAGTCCAAATGTGAGGCAAGCAGGGCATGAATAAATTTCTGAAGGTCTTCCCAGTCCAGGAGCCCCGAACGGGCACACCAGATGCCCTTGTGCAAAACACTGTGCCCACAGCTTCCACCTGCTTAATGAGCAGGAACTGATAGTCTAAAAGGGTTCCCAGATTGTGATAAGTCTCAAATGGGAAAATGCAATCCTTCTGAAAGTTAATAATGGAATATTTTCAGATCTGATGGAACCTAAAACACAACATATTCATGGAGAAATATATTGTATGCTTCTTCCAATTTTAAGTTTCTCTAGCTTCCTTTCTGACATGTGATGAGTATTTATTTTCAATAATTCAGGGAATGATGATAAATGAAAAAAACTTAGCTTGATTAAATCGTTCATTTTGATTAGGGATCGATTCTTTTCATGTAAACTTTTCTCCATAGCATATATTCTATAACAGGGATGGGTATGTATGATCATGCAGATGTTGATAGTTTTCATCCACAGCATCCTAATTCCATTGATTGTAATGCTGACAATTGTTTTGGAGTAGTGATTTGGTAACATCTGGCAGATCACATATCTTACTTGATAGCAAGCCATATTTATTCAATGGTTTTTAGATTCAGGACTTTTTGATAGAAGTGGGTTTCTTGGCATGTGTATACACATACACATACGCACACTTATGTGATGAAACTGTGGTTCATTAGATTATAGTACTCACATTCTATTTGCCATTATTAGAAAATCTAGAATGAATTACCCAGAAAAAAAAGATGATCCTGAATAGTTCTAGAGGTAATCTTTAGGAAATACGGTGCGTCCACCTATGAAGCAGTATCCCACCATTGTATTCTTGAATTATCAGCGCAAATTTGTTCTTTTTTGTTTTCAACCAAGAAAAGATTAGCATTTTTCTGTGTAAAATATAAAAAAGGACTAGACATTAAATTATTTTAAACCCACCCCCCATCCTCCACCCCCACAAACAACTCTGTTTCATATGAGTCAACATGCTGTAATTAACAAACTGGACCATTTGGTTGAAAGCACAGAAAAACCTGGTTGAGCCTTTCTTATTCATGACTCTTTCCTTCCTGATGTCCTCTAGGCCAGACATGTCAAACACAAGGCCCGGGGGCCTGATGCGGCCCGTGAAGTGGTTTCATGTGGCCCACGAAACCATCCTGGAAACAGTGAGGTAACGGCCCCCGCTGCCTTGGCCTTGGCCCTGGCCGACCGGGAGCCAATGTACAATTTTATGGTGGCCATCTATGCTGAAACGCATTCAGCTCCACAAGGCCGTCTAGAAACAGCGAGGAACCAGCCCCTGCCGTGTCAGCCCCATCCCCTGGGTGCATGCTGGGGAGGTGTCACCCTTTGTGAGGAATGAAGAAATGGACCGTGCCTTGGCGCTTGCCCCGGTCCCACCCCCTTCTGCCAGAGACCCTCAGATCTATCCCACTCCTGCCCAGGCCCCCATAGGCACCCTTGACGCGAACGATGTAGAGCTGGCCATGCCCACCCAGTAGGCCACACCCACTCCATCCACGCCCACTCAGTAGGCCGCACCCACCCTGACCGCACCCACCCGGCCCCCCGAGGGCAACTGCAATGCTGATGCAGCCCTCAATGAAATTGAGTTTGACACCCCTGCTCTAGGCCAAGCACTGAAAATGCCAGGGCGGAAAGCAGATTTCCCTCCTTCATGTAAAAGTTACCAATAATGAAGGGCTTACATGGGAGTGGGAAGGAGAAAGGACAGGTTTTTTTTTTTTGCTTTTATGTTGGTTTCCCACTTTTGTTTACTAAAAGTCACATATGTAAGTCGTGTATATGTGAGGAATGTGCTCATGGCATGGGTTAACAGCACTCACAAAAAATGGAAAAAGAGCACTTGTAACTGTTAAACAGTTTAACATGGGGGAAGGAGTTGAAGCACCATCTATAATAAATATTGAGATTTTGGGTATGATATCTGTGTGGTGTCTGTATTTTCTTGGCCACTGAACAGCAGTTGCAAACTAAGTGTTTGAATAGAGATAACAGGAGGAGGCCTTTTTCCATCTGCTTGCAATTTAAGAACTCATGCAAATGTTCTCCTTTTTTCTTTAAGGCTGGAATACATAATGGAATTGCAAGCTTTATCCTTTACATGTATGAATTTCCTTCATCCTCCATTAGCATGACTGGGGATTATGTTATCTTTGCTAGTCCCCAGTTAAGGGAATAGCAATGATAACATAACCTTTAATTCAGAATACAGATTAATGGATTTATACAAGCAGCGTGGAATGAAATATCAAATAATGTTTTTGTTCTGTTCGATCTGTCCAAAAAAAAAAAGGCATGGAAAAATGTATAGATGTCTGAATTTTAGCCAGCCTTGTTACTATATTTAATTTATTTGCCAACCATACCTATGTGCCACCCAAGTCAATAACTCTGGGCAACTCATTCAATTTACTTGGTACAAGTCTAGAAATCATATCTGTATTAATCTCTCATGCAAGGATAATATTTGTCAAATATGGATGGAGCATTTGTTAGATAAATTTTAGATAAAAATCAGTATAAGCAAGTATGGGTTGTATGAATAATAATAATAATAATAATAATAATAATAATAATAATAATAATAATAATAATAATAATAATAATAATAATAATAATAATAAAAAAGTTGGAAGGGACCTTGGAGGTCATCTAGGGCCAACCCCCTGCTCAGGCAGGAAACCCTATACCATTTCGGACAAATTGAAACAAGTTTAAATCCTAACAATGGCTACAAGTATTTTATAAAGCTCTATTTTGCTGGAAATAGAACAATTTTGGCTTCTTGAATGAAATTAAAATTTTGCATGATCAAAGCAGAAATTGTGTGTGTGTGTGTGTGTATTATAATTATAATTTTGGCTTCTTGAATGAAGTTAGGATCTTGGTTGATTAAAACTTCAGAAATGTTGCATGTGTGTGGGTCAGTATCAGTGTCAGTAATATGCAGTGATACAGTAATATGCAGTGATACACATACACATGTCAACTTATTCATATGATTTGTGTTATATCATGACACTGTGAATTCTCACTCCTTTAGGACTGGGGAGGAAGGAGCTGCAAATCCACTCTTTTGCTTATATCAATTGATATACTCAGAAAAGTTTCCACTTTCCCAAAATCATCTATTGCGCAATTGATGTACTTGCCTTGTGTCACCATCCCGCAATAGTACAGTTAAACTGTTGGGTTCTTGTTGTTTTCTGAAGTTGGTATTACCAAACCAAGTAACATCAAGGCATGAAAAATGAAGCTTGTATATAAAATACATAATTTTTGATCTATTTTATTCTTGCCAGACCTGTATCTTTTGCTTATCTATATTCTTCCTTTGCCTTCACCTCTGCTTCCTGGTGTTTTATTTCTGTTCATCCCAATCATTGAAGTTATATTTAACACATTATGTCAAGAATGTTCTTAGGCACTGTGAAGAATATAAACTTTTAAGGTAACTTTTACAATTTTTACAGACTTAACCTATAGTGCCATACAATGAAGCTGCCCTACTTTTTAACCAGAAAATTCTTTTATACGTCAAGTACCACTGGTAATTTTGACAGAGAATCTGGATCCCACAGGACAGAAGTAAAATGTGCATTTTTCCCCAAGAACATAGTTCTGGCATCCTCTTGTTATATTTATCATTGATGGAAAGATATGAATGCTTAAAGTTTGATGACTTCTCCAATGCCCTGGGCATTTTATGACACACATGTCACATCTAGTCCTTCAGCTGTCCCTGTCCTGCCTGCAGTGTTGGCAGCATTAGCAGCACTGGTGGGAGGCTGGGGCATTGATGTTATGGGGTGCGGGCCATCAGGGGGGCATCCATGGGGGCGGGGCGGCATCCCTCCATAACAAGTCCAGTTTCTCCTTGGCTCCTTGGGAAAATAATTGCCCACCCCTGCTATAACCTGTGGATATTTACATGACTGGTTGAGGATCACTGCTTTGTAGGATCAATGCTAATCCTTGTTTATCTGCAGCTTCAAGAATGTTGAAAGTGCATGTTTATTCAGGTTTTTTTCTTTACACCAGATCTTGGGAACTTTATATATTCAGCTTTCTGTTTTCATTTTGTATTGCAGAGCAAGGAAATTGGTCTTCAGATGCATGAAGAACTTTTGAAGGTTACGAATGAACTCTACACTGTGAGTAATTTTACCCTGGGACTTGTGCCATAACATTCAGGAATAAATATACATGATGGCGTGTGTGTGTGTGTGTGTGTGTGTGGTCTACTAATACAGAGTTAGTATGATCAGTTTTGAAAATTTCCAGATATATTTGAACCAATTAGGATTCATCAGGGAAAAGGATGCTATTTATACCAGAATTGAATTTCAATCCTTAAAACAGATTTTCTTCAATATGATTTGTGGATCAGTCTGAAATTGCATCATCTATTACAGTAAAAGATGGGAGTAGCGATTTTATCTTATTTCTTGGCTTTATTTTTCCAGAATGTTTTTCTCGTTGGGCCAATTCTTTTTCCATTTTAGCTTTTCTGATGTTCTGGCACTTAGTAGCAATACTTTTCTTTTTTTAAAATAGCTCTTCTGACATGTTTATAATTTGGTCTACCATTGTCTGTCCTTGATTTTAAATAGTTTTAAATATTCCTCCTCCTCCTCTAACCATATTTGTTACTTATTTATTGTCAGCACTGGTATGTTGCTATTCAAAACTAGGTTTCTTAGGGTAGCTTATAATACAATAAAGTGTTGTTAAATATTAGCAACATTGAAAATACTGCAATCAGAAGAGTGATATAAAGTGTCTTTAGATATATTGTATACCTGCTGGGTGGTAAACAACTTAGTATAATATTTTAACATAGTATTTTAACATATTTGGGGTGAATATAAGTTATTTGAGGAAACTAAAGTAGTGGATGGGAGCCAAGGAAAGAGCTGGTTGCACAGATCCAGCGGTCAGACCAGTTCATTTTTCATTGCAACTTTCTTGGAGATGAAAATCACATGTAAATAGATCAAACTAAGGTCTTGGTGAGACTTCCTGGTCTTTTGTAATGGATTTAAGTGATCCATAAGTTTTGTACACCAAAACTTGGAATATGCAAGTAATGTGGTACTTCTGAAATCCTGATGCAACCATAAGTAGCCTATGAGAGTCATTGTTTAAAAAAGTGGAAAAAGACAATTCAAAAAAGTTAGAAATCACAAATAGATTATTCATGATAATCTACATTCAACAGGGCATCTTAAATTCATTTAACAATCTTTGTTTGCAGTTTACAGTATATTTTTGATTATTGATGTTCAAGCAATATATTCAAAGTTTTTCCTCACAGTTTAATTAAATTTATAAACCAGTTTTGACTGATATTCTACCCGAACAATGCTTCTGTGTAATAATTATGAGCAAAATACACTGGCCTAAAATTTTTGTGTAGCTACAAAATTCTTAAACCTTTTCAAAATATCATGGCTTTATTAAATATTCAGGCATTATTGCTTTAAAGAAACCTATTTAGCAAACACAACAGCATTTTTTAGAGATTTTTAAAAAATGGTTTTGTATATGTGAGAAAAAAAAGAATGAGAATTGTAATAAGATTACTGAGTTACAGTTCAGATTTATGCATGACTGTCACAGCTGATTTGATTTTTATAATAGTCCATTCGCTTAATAGGATACTCTAATTCTTGTTGTGTTATCTGTGGCATATTTTTCTAAACAGAAAAATTAGTTCCTAAATCATGATTTGATGTCAGGATGCTTGAAAAATAAAGTGCTAAGATATTTTTAGGTGTTGTTTAGCGGCTCGGTATTTAAGGGCATTAACTGGGAAAATGTTACCCTTGTCTTAGGCAAGGAGAATGTTTTTTGTAGAAGGAAAAAATTGGTAGCAAGTGGAACAGTATCATGGATTGATGAATTATCTCAGGCCTGGGTTTTTGAACCACACTGTATCTAAGATAGCAAACTCTCTACTTAGATTCACAGTTGCTTTGTATGTTATCTTTTCCATGTTACTATGCATTCTGAGCATGTAACATTTTTGTTTGGGAATTACCTGATATGCTGTGCCTACCTGAATTTTGTACGCTTCTGTGGAAAAATGTGTTTCCTATTTCAATTTAACAGGATGATTATGTGAAATATTTGCATCATAGGAACTAGTGTATATTATTCAGAGCCTAAAGTATCTAAAGTATGATGCACTGCTTCTGCAACACGAAATAATATATAGTTGGTGTTTGTATTTATTGTAGAGAAAGCACACCAAATGAGACAAAAAGCAATATTCTTTACTAAGGCTCTTCTTAAGAATAGATAACGAGTATTAAAACTGTACTTATAGCTCTTGCAGGAAAATATTAATTGTGTGGATTGTATGTGCATACTTCATAAGAAAACAGAATAATGTAACAGATTTTAACTCAAATTAACTTTCTAATCCAGTGTGTCTTGTCAACTTGAAAATGTGTGGACTTCAACTCCCAGAATTTCCCAGCCATTTCTGATTGGAATGCTCTGGAAGTTGAAGCCCACACATTTTCAAGTTGACAAGATTCAGAAACACTGGTCTAATCTAAAATGAAAAGACCCCAGAGGAGAGTCCAAATGTCAGCTAAGGCACATCCAGCCAAGTCCTTTAGAACATTGATTGAATTACAGTTGACAAATGAGTAGATAGTTACGTAACATGAGGTGCTCTAAGCCAAAATGTCCTGTTTCGGGTTTTTTGTGTGAAAGATTCTGCCAAAAGCTACTGCAGCATAAAAAAAATGTGTGTGCAGTTATTTAAAAATGGTTACCTTTTGTATTCTTTCTTTAATTTTATTCTATTCCCAGTTTCTTGTCTACTGTATAGAATACTTCAATAAGACATATTGCTGCCTTAATATGTTGTTTTAAAAATAAAGCTTATTTACATATTTGAAAAAGCTTTTGAGCCTTACAAACTTTGCTGGAAAAAAGAGAGGAAATTATGCCTCCATTTATTGGTAGTTTCTAAGTTAATTTGAGAAAAAACATTTTGGGAAGATTGATTTACTCCCTACCCTTATCCCAAAATAATGGATTCAAGAATCATATGAATTCCGAGGATCATGGATAACCTAATGCTCTTCTTTAAAGATTAAATCTATTACTTTCAACCGACCCTGGATAGCAGCCAGGGAAAATGATGCCACATTCCCTGTAATAGTGAAATTAGGTAGTCCATACAGCCTCAATTAATAACTTGGTAAGTGCCATTTTTTTAAAGGAAAATTTCTCGTTGACCAAGGCAATTCCACATCAAGTGTATTACAGTTGACTAAAGTGGATGTTACTAGAGTCTGAGCGTCTAGATTATTTTTCTTCTTTTTTTCATTTGTACGTATTGTGCATCACCAAGACTGGGATGGCACATAGAACCTGTAAAATAAATAAATACAATATCCCTTAAGGCTGTGAGCCACTGATTTGTTAATAACGTTTTATTCCAGAGTTCTTACAAATAGCAAATATCCATGTGGAACAAAGTCGACATAGAAGATGGTACATATATGTAGAAAACTATAATAGAAGCTGTAATAGACTGGAAAAATGCAACATTTGTATTTGTGTTATATGTATTGGAAAGATACCAAGACTTGAGAAGATATAGGTTCTTCCCAGACAATAGATTTACAGCTACTTAGACAAAACAGGAAACTCTGTATATTCTCCATCTACTTGCTAGTTGTTAAGTCAGAGGAAAGGAAGACTGGAGGGCATGCATGTGTATTCCTGACTTGCTGACACTGCTGGAGAATGAAGAGTGTTAGAGAAGGAGATAAAGTGTATCAGTTTGTCTAAGAAGACTTGTCCAAGAAGAAAACAACATTGGACAGCAAGGATGAGAGCTGAATTATTATGGGACTGACAGCAATAAGCAGAGTCTGCCGAGAGCTATGTGCAAGGAAAGGAGAATCAGTCTACAATCTGAAATAAATTGAGGTGCACTATATTCCAAATGACTCACTGATATATAATGTCCAGGAGAAATTGGTCTCCTATAGTAGGAATGGATAGACTAAGACTATGTAAAGAGTACTGTGAAAATGAGAGAAAAGATTAAAAAGACTTTTCCCAGAATTAAAGGAGCAGAGTCAGAAATAAAAGCAGAGATTACATGTTATATGAGCTCAGTCCATCAAGCTAAGAGAAACATTGAAAACTCCATAAATAAGGTAATAGGCTTATAGGGAGATACCTGGTGTGTAGATTAAATTAGGTATAAAAATAGGATTAAGTCTTTATGTTTGTAAAATTTAAGCACCGCATGTTCATCTATGGAGCAATAAATGGAATATTTTAAAGATGAAACCTGTAGCTATTCATCTGTCTTGCTTGGGCGAGAACAATTCAAATGGAACCTGTGACATGGCACATTAATGATACTTTTTAATTGTTTAATTGTTTATGTAAAAACAGTTTAGAAAAGGTTAATGATAGGCACAAAACTGATTTAAAGCAGCACTTTTTTTCTAAAAAAAAAAAAAAGGTGCCAGAACTCACACATGTCATACAACCCGCCTTACCTACCCTATAAGGTTCCATCCCAAAAAAGGTGCCGGAACTCCGTTCTGGGCGTTCTATGAGAAAAAAAGCCCTGATTTAAAGTATTAATATTGCTACTTGCCCCTGATATACCTTTCTAAATTATTCCTCTGCAGTTTCAAACTAGGCTTGTCAGAGAGTGTAAGCTTATCATGTGAATAAGGATCAGTAAGGGTTGGCAATGACCTTTGATAAAATCAGATTTTGCAAGATAAGTGACTGTAGATAATAATCTCTGCAGTCTACATGTCAGGGTTGCAATCAATATTTGCACATTAGCATTTAAGAAAAAACCTGGATGATAGATTGCACAGACAGCTGGATCCTTATTTGTCTTAAAAATCACAGTTATAGAAGCTTCACTGAAGAAGGCTGGAAAACTTTATTAAAAATGTATAATACTAAACCTTTAATAATAGTGGGACAAAGAAATACATTATTATGCTACTAAATAGGATAACAATCTGGACAGGACTTTTCTTGTTTTTATAGATTTAATGGTATCTATAATTTCTTTTAGCCTCTTGTTCATGTGAAATCTTAGGAAGTGCTGTATTCTATAAAAATAATTAATTTTACTTGTTACATTGAACTCAATATTATAAAATCAAGGGTATTTTTTTTAAAAAGCTGATTTATTGAGTCAGAATAGTTAAATACTTTATCCTTGATGTCTTTATAGTAGAGATAATGGTTAGTAATTTACCAGGTCTTTGATCTCACTTGCTAAATCTTTGCTTTATATGGCTATTCTGTTTCAAGTATAAAAGAGAATTAAGTTCCTGTTTAATATTCATAAAAGCATATAATTCTGATGTACTTTGCCTTGCATGTATGCTCAAAATTTTCTTAACATTTTGTCCGCATTTCTTGTAAAGAAATATACCTTATAAAAGAATGGGATTATTCTTTTTATAGTATGATAATTTATACACACGCACTATAAACATTGTACAGTACATATGTTAATGATGAGTAATGCCTATATTATATTTATTAATTCATCCAAGTAATACACAAGATGGCAGAAAAAAAATCAAATGAAGAACTGTTTTGATGTGGAAGTTGTGAAAGATTTCTGTTGTGAAAGATTTAAAATTTGCCACATCCACCAAATTAAAACCTAGTGTAGAAGTGTGCAGCATTTTGCATGTATGAGAGTTAGATTCAGGTTGAGTGGTATTCCAGACTAATAAGAGATTTAGAACTTGATTGAAATCTTTGACCATTTTTATCTGATACACAGCTGAGGTTAAAAACATCTGTGTAATCTAAAATAAAGTTCTTCCCCCTCTTTCTTTCATACATATACACATGAAAAACATCTACATAATCTATATGGAAATTTAGGCCCCTTTTAAGGGTTATAATGCATTTATTAAAACCCTAAACATAGTATTTAAAAAATTCTGGGGGGAGGTCTCTTATTTCTTGTACCATCACAGATCCTGAGCACTTTATTTATTTATTTATTTATTTATTTTATTACATTTATATCCTGCCCTTCTCCTTACGGACTCAGGGCGGCTAACAATCAGATAAAATACAGAAATACAATACACATTTAAAATTAATTAAAAAGAAATATTTAAATCTGATCCGATTAAAAGTGATTAAAACCCCTATAAAATCCCTTAGGCCAGTCCCGCAAGCTGGAACAACCATGTCTTGAGGGCGCGGCGGAAGGAAGGGAGATCAGGGATCACCCTGATCTCTGGGGGCAGTTCGTTCCAGAGGGTGGGAGCTCCCACAGAGAAGGCCCTCCCCCTTGGGGTCGCCAGCCGGCACTGTCTGGCTGACGGCACCCTGAGGAGACCCATTCTGTGGGAGCGTACAGGTCGGTGGGAGGTAATCTGTGGCAGGAGGCGGTCTCGAAGA